GGAAAATGTGCTAGAACATCGCCGGTCTAAAAATATCCACTGGCAAGTCTTGGACACACTGCATTTCTGAGAAGAGAGGAAGTAGAGAAAGCTGAGAAAACAGCCAGGCACGAAATAAGAAGGAACTGAAATTTAAATATGAAACCCCTAAAATCCGTGAAAGAAAGGGCGTACGCAGTGCTGCAAATGAGTTTTCATGTGACCCAGATCTCGTTCCCCCCAGGAACCATCACTTGGTTCTTTGGCACAAATATTACCCATCTGCGAATATATAAAATGAGTGCCTTTCTATTTTAATTATAAATTGTCTAAAATAATTTTCTTTCTCTTTGGAAGCAGATTCTTGGCATTCGGGGCTTTCTATTTTCCAAGTAAAAACTGGATTGGTGCATATTGATTTGTTTTCTTTTAACCAGCCCCCCCGCCGCCCCATTAAACTGAGGTTCCTCCCAAGAAATGTCTATGCGTCATCGTTTCTAATGGTGAACCCTGGAAACGGCCACATGTTCATCAAAGGACAGTCTGGGGCCCACCAGGGCTCCTGGACATGCGGTTGCTTCAGGGACAGGACAGGAGAAACCCGAGGCGAACCTGGAACTCCCGACCTGTGTGGTGCCCAACAGCAAGGGGGCGCTCAGAGAGTTCTGGGGCAGGTCACAGGGCACAAGGGCCCCTTGAAGGGGCCCCGAGGGGCCAGATTGGGGGTGCCAGCAGCACACGATCTGGCCTGAAACAAATATTAGATGTTAGAAAATTATATACTTTTCAAAAAACTTTTTTTAAAGGATTTCTTTTTTTAAAGATATTTATTTTTAGAGAGAGAGGAAGAGAAGGGGAAAGAGAGGAAGAGAAACATCAATGTGTGGTTGCCTCTCATGTGTCCCCTACTGGGGACCTGCCCCACAACCCAGGCATGTGCCCTGACTGGGAATCGAACAGGCAACCCTTTGGTTCTCTGGCCAGTGCTCAATCCATGGAGCCACACCAGCCAGGCAAAAAAACTTTTCGATGAATTTTTTTTTTAGTGTATTATAGTCCTTTTTATAGACTTATGGGAATTGCCCCATAAGATACCCTGCTGTCTTGTGTGCATTGTGACCATATTTTCTACAATGAAAATGGGAGTGCATTTGTATGGGTAGTTTCACAAAATAATTGCAATTAGAATGGCTTAAAAATATCCAGGATGGGGGAGGTTATGGGGTGGAGGGATTGAGCAGAAAGGAATAAGGACTCATGGACATGGACAACAGTGTGGTGACTGCTGGGGGCAGAGAGTTATACGGGGACTGAATAGTAGTGGGGAAATATTATAAAGATTAAATTAAAAATATCTAGGATGTATGGGTAATAATGTATATACGTGTGTGTAAGTCACACACACGGTGGCAGTTCCACATTTGGTCACCAGGTGGCGCTTTGCCTATGTGAGGCCCACCCGACGGGAAACTGATGAAGGGGGTGGCGGTAGTGGGGGGCAGTAAAAGGCCAGAGAGAAATCCGCTCAGTATCACGCAGAGCCTCCACCGGCAAGCGCCCCCCCACCCCGGGGCCCCTAGAAGGAGTTTATCTGGCTGAACCTGTACCGTCCTCCCATCCTGGGCTGGAGGTGTTCGGAATTTGAGTCACTCTGAGGTTTGGCTTTGTTCAGGATGGATGCTGCAGGCCTGTCCCCAGAGGGTGCTGTGCTGCGTGCAGGGGACCGGGTGGAAGCCACCGGAGCTCTGCCCCCTGCAGACAGAACTGGGGGAGGCGTTCCTGGCCCTGCACTGAACCGCAGGCGGTGCACTGCACAGCCAGAGTGTGGACTGAATGGGCAAATGTCTGGTCCTTCAAAAACAACTTGCAAGAGACTCCTCTGTGTCTTATCAGTGACACGTGTTCACGCATCTTAGGCGGAAGGGGGATGGCGACCGCCCCTGCCCTGGCTGCCGGTGGCAGTCTCTGACACTGTTGGCTCTGGAATGTTCTGCGGGAGCTGCTAGGGCTTAGAGACCGGGGTTCTGTCTGCGGTGTTCTGGGAAGGCTTTTCTCTGAGACCTGGGCTCTCCTGTTAACGTTCTCGGGGGTGTGGCACTCAGTGGCACTCGGTGCCTCTACCACCTGAGCAGAGGGTGTCACCCAAAGGGTCCGGGCCTTTTGCAGAGACCCTCAGCTGTCCGTCTCAAGTTTCTAGACCACCCTGGGCTCTGAACCACCTGTAGAGGGACTGAGGTAGAGGGGGCATGGCTTCTGGATTGAAACCCTGGTCTGGCTGCTCGTGAGCCCCGGGACCCTCGGCCACAACAGGAGCCTTCTGAGTCTCTGCCTCTTTACAGGCAGAATGGGGGTGTTAACGCTGACCACCTTCGTCTGTTTGGTGAACCAGCATGTCTTTGAGTTTCTCCCACATGCCCCTCGGTCCTCTGGGAGCCCACCGCCCGGCAGCCCCAGTAGACTCGTGTGTCCGTGTGGGGGACAGTAAATAAGGGTGGATCTGGACTAGGGATGGGAGGTGGCCAGGGGGGCATGATGCGACTTAATGCCGCCGGACGGTGTGCCTCCGATGGGAAGGTGACAAACTATGCTACGTGTATTTTACCCTGATTTCATTAAGTCAAAAAAGAGATCTAAGGATGCCCGGCATGTAGGAGGTACTCAGTAGACATCTCACCGCCTTAGGGAGCGAGCCAGGTTGTTCCTCCCGGGTGTCAGCGCCCCGCACCTGCCTGCCCCACGCCGGGCGGGGGTGAGGGGGACTGCCAAGCCCTGGGGCACGTCCTGGCTTCTCCCCTTGGCTCAGTACGGGCATGTGGGATGTCTTCCCATTTCCCAGACGCCATTCTGGAGTGAATGAACTCAATGGCTCTGAAGGGCACCTCAAAGAAGCTTCTAGAATTCCATTTCACTTTTCACAGTGAAAGCAGGCGGTCTGCTCCAGGCCTTCTGAACCAAACCTTGTGGGCTGAGCCTTTACGACCGAGGATTAAGGCTCAGGTGACATTCTAACTGGAAGGCTGAGAACACAGGTTATTGTGTCCACTCCACCTGACCCCCGCCCTCCTGACTGTTTTTCTTTTTTTGGAGAGTGTGGAGCACCCTTTTTTTCTTTTTTCTTTTCTTTCATTCAGGAGGAGTTATGGCTCACTTCCAAGTACTTGTGGAAATGTATATGATTAACTTTGCTACTCCAGAAAAAAAAAAGATTTTAATCCCAAAGTCATTTATTTTGGCTTTAGAATAGACTAGCATTTGTGTCGGATTTTCCTGCCTCATTACTTTTTGCTTAAGCTTATTTTTAAATTGTTTTAAATTCCTTCAGTGCGCCTGCCGGGGGGGGGGGTGGAAAGTCGACCACAGATGGGTCTGACCAAGGATTTCGGCCCTCCTGGGTCAGAGCCGCCCGATACGCCGTTGGTGGGAGAGAAAATTGGAATCAGCTTTCTGGAGAACAGTTTGGCGAAAATATTTTCAAAAGTCTCAAAAATATGCTTACTCTTTGATCCAGTCATTCCACATCTAGGAATTTGCCCTAAGGAAGTAATCACACAACATGCAGAAATGTAGGAACCAGGCACCCGCCACAACATTTATAGCAGCGTAAAAAATAAAATAAAAAACTAAAACCAATGTACGTTAAACACCGAAGAATGTGGAACGGATAAAGTCACATATGTTCCTATTGCTAGTGTGTGTGGTCGTGTTGTCAAATTACAGACTTTAAAAATGTTCACCATGCGTGTTTCTAAGAGGAAAGAGGCTATGAAACAGTGCACACAGTTCGAACCAGCATGTAGGGGAGAGGGGGATGGGGGGCAGCAGGGGGGCCGCAGGGGGGTGGAGGCACAGCTCTGGGAGGAGACCTTCCCCAGTGTCACCTGTGGTGTCTGTCACCGAGTGGTGACGTGAAGGCCCATTTTGTACTTTGTTGTGTTTTTCAAGTTTTCTTCTTGAATGTGTATTACTCTATAATTAGAAAAACCGTCCTGTATGTTAGAAGAATACATGTTTAATGGACCAGTGAAAAAAATAAAATGTTGCTATTCGATACCCACAAAGTGGGTCATTCGGACGCGCATCTGCCCATTCAGGTTGAATGTGTTTTCCTCGGGGCTGCGTCCATACCCGTGAACTATCAGCGGTTGTGCTGAGGCCCTGAAATAGGTTGTGTTTTCCTGGCGAAAGAACCACGTTCAGCAGAAGCTGCGGCAGGCACATTGGGGTGAAATGTGGGTGCCCGAACCCCTGCATCCAGTGCCAGGAGGTAGACAGACTCCTGAAGGAGCCCACAGACTAGTAGGCTTTCCCTGAATTGTAGACAAAAATTGTTTATTGACCCCCCAAACCGCAGAACGATACTGGGAACGTTTTAAATCATTCTTAATCTTCTGAAGGCCGTTCCCGGCTACATTTGGTACCGGCTCTCCTTTCTCATGTCCTCGTGCTCAGCGACTCAGAGCCCCAAGAGTGAAAGCGTAAGGTACGCGCTGGACAGCCCCAAACCTCTGATGGCCCCAGAAGGGCCCCGGGCTTGCGTTTGAAAGGTCTCTGCTGCCCATGGTCAGCCGTGGGACCGTGGACTCCTCTCTGACCGCCAGCCCGGCTATTTTGTTCACACCCCCCATATTCCTAAGACGCCATGTGGCTTCACTGAAGGGCAAACCTTGCTCTGGTTCCTCATCGTCCAAGGTCAGAAGGAAAAGCCTTTCGGGATTAACTCGGCCACGGTGTGTCGTTGGTGTTTGGAACTGCAGTGGGCGTTTTTACTAGTTATCCAGGTTCTAAATACTGACTCGGATAAGCTGCACAGAATGGGGGGAAGCAGAGAAATCTTGCTCCTGGCCATGACCTTGAGCAGGCTCACTTGACAGGTCAACCGTCATTGTCCTCCCATAGTTGGGAGACCAGCTCCTGCCCTCCTGCTTCGAAAGGCTGTTGTTTGTCACCTGCGAAGCCCTGTCCGGTGAGGGACAGTCGCCGGTCTCTGCAAACACACGGCCTTCTCCGCTTTGTCTCTGCAGTTTCCGTACGCCGCCCCCCCGCCCCAGGAGCCAGTGAAGACTCTGAGAAGCCTGATCAACATTCGGAAGGACACACTGAGGCTCGTCAAGTAAGTCTCCGGTGCTCGGGCCAGGCACCAGGGAGGGTGCCATCCTGCGGGCAGGGGCAGCCACGCCCCGTAGAGACCCCCAGAGCAGCTGTGCCCGGCCCTGAGCCTGGCCCACGCCCACTGAGATCGGGGCTGTCTGCATCCGGGCCGGTCAGACTGCGTGCCACAGTCTGCGCTCATGGGGAATGCTCCTTTCCTGGAAGAGTCACTATGGCTCTACTTCATGCATTTAAAAAACAAACAAAAAAAGAATAATGGAGGGAAAACTGAACCTTGCAGATACCTCAACAAGCCTGTGGAAAGATGGGATATTGGCAGTTGGATTCTGAAATCCTCATTTATTGCTCATGTTTACCATTTACATTTACTCTTCATCTCTCTGCCCTTCCGCTGAAGAACGTGGAGTGCCCGGGGTTGGTCGCCTCATCTCCATCATCAGCACTGTCCCCAATTCACTGTCCCTGCACCGGCCCTGAGACCCTGTTAGTTTCAAACCCATGCCCCCCTCTGCTGGGCTCGTCAGCACCTGGGGCAGATGGGCTTGGTCAGGACAAACCGGGAGTCCCGGCTCCCTCTGACAGGACCGGGGAGGTAACTTAGACCGTCCCATGCTCATTCAGACAGCCATGTTGGCGCGGGGAAGTTGATTTCTCCCTGATAATTGTGCTTTAACCTCACACCTTACTTGAGATACAGCACACACACCATACAACTCGCCCTTCTACAGCCAGCGACCCGGCGGTTTTTAGTACGGTCACAGATGGGCGCCATGTCACTGCATCTGACTCTGAGACATTTTCACTGACCCCCCAGGCACCCGATACTTATTAACAGTCACTTCCCATGTCCCCCAAAATCTCTCTTCTAGGCCTAAGCAACCGCTAATCTATTTTATGCCTCCCTCTCTTCATTTTTATACTTTATTTGCCCCTGAAGTTTTAATTGCTTCCCTAAGTACTCTCCCAGCCCTGGGGTCAGCTCTGGGGCCATGGGGCCAAGGAGTCACCACATGAAGAAGAATGTGTGCAGGGAAACGCAGTAGCCAGTGACGCCTCTGCGGCTGAGCCGTGAAGGATGCTGATGTGGGCATTGTACTTGGACACTAAGGGACCGAACTGACAAAGTCCGGCCATCACTGCACTGGTGGATGGGGTCCCTCTATGGGCCACAGCAAGTGGGGAGGGAAAGACACCCTCGTTCCCACGGTAGGGAGTTGATCGATGATGCCCGGAGCCGAAAACACAAGGAGAAACCGGCATGCTATTTAGAAACGTGTGGGTATGTGGCCAGGAATGAGCACGTGGAAGGGTTTCCTCCGACAAGGCGGAAAGGGCAAGGAGTGGGGCCCCAGGGAAACTATTTAAACAATGCGACTGGTAATGGCGATTACAATGAAAACTAAAAAGGAAGCCGGGCAGGTGCGCGAGGCCGTCAGCGGCAGCGCCGTGAAGTATCAGAAAGCCCCCAGCACCCACGGCAGCGGCGCGAAGCCCTCCGCGGGCATCTCCAGGGCAGGGGCAGGCCAGAGGTTGGGCTCATGGAGAGAAGCCCGCAGTATAAGTTTTTTAAAAAAGACGTATTTTAAAATGCTGATTTGCTACCCGCCGAACGCCACCTCCCTGGTGTCCTAGGTGTGCGGAGGAAGTGAAGACCCCTGGGGAGGAGGCCGGCAAAGCTAAAGTCCACTACAACGTGGAGTTCACCTTCGACACCGATGCCCGCGTGGCCATCACCATCTACTACCAGGCTACCGAGGAGTTCCAGAACGGCATTGCCAGGTGAGGGCGAAAGGCCCGGCGAGCCCCTCCCCCCCAGCCAGGCTGGGGCCTGTGCTGTGTCCTCAGTTGTGCAGGGAAACGTTCTGTTCCTGAAACCAGGTGAGACCCAGCTCTCGAGTTTGAGATTTCCTCTGCCGAGCCCCACTCTGCACCTTTTCCCTTTCGACTGCGCCACGTGGGTGCGGTGGCGGGTGGCCCCACAGCTCTTCGGGACATTGAGAAGCTGCGAAGACCCCGCTCAGCTGCCCCTCCGTGGCCGGGCAGGTTGCATAGATGAGTTGAGTAGCACAACCAAGCCAAAGCGAGGCAAACAGGAGACAGTCTGGTCTAACAGACTGTTAGACAGAAGGCCGTCTGGTCTAGCCGACTCCATGCCCAGGGCCGCGGACCGTTGAAAACAGGCACCAGCGGGAAAACGGGGGTCCGCCGGGGCTGCGCGCTGACTTGGCTTTGCCTCCTGTGTTGGCCGACAGCTACGTCCCCAAGGACAACAGCCTGCAGTCGGAGACGGTGCACTTCAAGCGGGGGGTGTGCCAGCAGTTCTGCCTGCCCTCCCACACCGTGGACCTGTCCGAGTGGGCTGAAGAGGAGGTGAGCGGCCGCCGCTGGAGGGGGCGGGCTGCTGGGGGAGGCGAGGGGCAGCTTGCGCACCGGGCGGGCCCGGGAGCTGGTTAGGACCACTGCCCGCAGCACATGGACTGCCCAGGTGCTGGAAGGTCGTGCTGACCTTCAGCCTTGTAATGCCTTCACACTTAAAAGGATACACCTAACCTTGTAATTTTTCTATCCGAACTGGCCCCTTAGCCCCTTGGCCCCTTGGCCCCTTAGCCCCTTAGGGTGTGTCAAGAAATCCACACTCAGAGCACCTGGGGGTTCCAGGGCCGTCGTGCATGACATTTTAAAAAGAAACAGGGGCCTTCCGTCCGAGGCACTCGGGCAGCTACAAGGTGGACGGAGGAGGAGCGGAGATGAGGTTCCTTTCTGATGGGCTCCTGTGCCATTTCAACACAGAAGTCCCTCTTCATTCTCACATTCTGTTCTTTCTGTTCAGCTTGGCTTCGATCTGGACCGGGAGGTCTACCCTCTGGTGGTCCACGCGGTGGTGGACGAAGGAGACGGTACGGGTGCCCTCTGTATTCCTTTGCTGACACCCTGCCCTTCTGTGGCACAAGGCCAAGGGCAGCGTGCTCTCCTCCGTGGGGGTCACTCGGGCAGAGTCCACACAGCCCTGCCCCGCACTCCAGTCCCCAAGGCCCTGGGCTGACAGGAATGCCTCTGCGTTCCATAACGTGCCCCTGTCGCAACAGCTCCGGACATTTGCAGGTGGCAGGAACCCGGGGAAGTCGGTGGGTGTCCGTGTGTGTTTGGTTTTCTTCTTTATCTGTGTGCCTTTCTTTCTTTCAGAGTACTTCGGCCATTGCCACGTGCTGCTGGGCACTTTTGAAAAGGTACGTGAGTGGCTCTGCGGGCTTCATTTTGGCATGTTTGGCCCCTTCGTGGGAGGACGAGGGTCATCCTTGTTGCCGGCTGCCTGAGCTCAGCCTATGGGGGCTCAGGAGGCTGGGAGGCTACGCTAGAGTTGAGTCCCGGCTCTGCCATTCAGTTGCACATGACCTTCAACTCGGTGGGCCTCATTTCCTCTTCCTCGAAGGGAAGGGTTTGACCAGACCAGGGGTCTGTAATTCCACACAGCGAGTGTCCCAGAACACACACAGCTGGGAGAAGTGACGGTGAACAGCTGGGGTGCTCTGGCCTCCCGCCTTGTCACAACTGTCACATTCTCATTCCAGCACACAGATGGGACCTTCTGCGTCAAGCCCCTCAAACAGAAACAAGTAGTAAGTATTGGAAGGCCGGGGACTGTTGACATTTCCTTCCTTCCTCCCTCCCTCTGTCCCTCCCTCCTTCCTTACTTCCCTCTCTCTCTCTTACTCTTGCTAAGCACGCTTCTTCCCCTCCCATCTACCCCCTTTTTAAGTCAAAGAGCAACAAAAGGATATGCTTTTATATGTCAGAAACTGCTTTGGTGACCTGAAAGGAACACTGATTTTTTGGTGCCTTTCTTGTCCCAGAGTTGTTGGTGTTGAGTCAGCCTTTATCTGAGCGAAGGCCTCTCGAAGTGAAAGGACAAGGTTTGTCTCCTGGCATTAGGTTTGGGGAGAGCTCCTTTTATCTGAAATGCCAGCCCTGACACATTTCAAGCTAAAGGGTAAAGTGCCGGTGTCCGATCCAGGGCCAGTTGGAGCCCTTGGCTTCATTAATCTGACCAGCGCGTTTCTAAAAGTCAGAGTTTGCTGGCCGTCCGCCCCTCCAGAGTAAGCAGCAAGTCACGTGTGTGTCTGCTAGGTGCCCTGCCCAGCTGCTGCCACACTGCCCGCTGCTGCTGTGGATGGAGGAGAGTCATGGAGGGTGAGGCAGGGGCGGTGGGTGCCCGGGACATTGGCAGGCCCCTCCCGTGGGCAATGGGCATCTGAAATCCTGCATTATTCAGTTTTGGAGGTTAAGTGCTATCCCCTCTTAACAAGGTCACTAGTCGTCAATACTACCTTCGTCTACATCAGTTGCTAGTGTCCTTTGAAGTACAGCCAGTGAGTTAAAACCGGTGTTAACAGAGGCAGCGCAGGAAACAGAGCCCGAGACCAGGGTGCTGCCTGGAAAGGCCAGCACCCGTGGGAGGCCCAGCTCCCCAGGGTGCCGGGAGAGAGTGGATGACGGCCAGGCTGGCCCAAGAAAAATGGTTGCTCTGTCTCTGTGGCTAGATGGCATTAGTAACAGACTTTGTCATCCTGGAGAGCGGGTCACAAAATCAGCGACAGGATGGTGGGGGGGAAGAAGCCAGGCAGAGGAGGGGAGTGGCCTCCAGTAAGGAAACAAGGGAGTCAGCCTGCCCTTGAACTTCTTTCTGTATTTGCTCTTCAGGTGGATGGGGTCAGCTACCTCCTTCAGGAGATCTATGGAATTGAGAACAAGTACAACACGCAAGAGTCCAAGGCAAGTGCTGCCCAAGATTCTGAATGTGTTCTTCCCAGGAGGCAGAGTGAGGAAGAGCCCGAGGAAGCCGTGGTCGGGGAAGTCGGGAGCCCAACTCTGGGCTCAGCTCGGCCCTCCCAGGATGTTTTCCTGCTCCGCATTCCAGATGACTATACCTTTATCACTGTGGAAATGCAAAGCCGGTGCCCCCATTTGCTGGCAGGGCTTTCCGGATGCTGATCAGTAAACCCCTCTGCTTCCTGAGTGGTCTCCTCGGCCTCTCGGCTCAGATGGCCAGAGGGAGCCAGACCTGAGTCTCATAGGATGAGCTCGAGAGAACAGTTCCCAGAATTAGTGAACCCGAGTCTGTGAATGCACCCGGTAAACTGGGAAGTCCATTGTGCATGAATGCGCAATGCCGCTCTGGTGGCCCCCCCCCAGCCCTTCAGACAGTCCGCCTTGTGTAGAAAGTGTGTGTGTTCCCTCACTGGCCCAACTCCCGTCTCCCCGGCCAGGTGGCGGAGGACGAAGTGAGCGATAACAGTGCCGAGTGTGTGGTGTGTCTCTCTGACGTCCGGGACACCTTGATCCTGCCCTGCCGCCACCTCTGCCTGTGCAACACCTGTGCAGACACCCTGCGTTACCAGGCCAACAACTGCCCCATCTGCCGACTGCGTAAGCCCCCGCGGGTCGGCGCGATGGGGGCTCTGGGCGGGGGGATCACGGTTTCTGTCTGACTCCCGCCCCCAGCTGTCCTGATGGCCCTTCTCCTGCCGCACAGCCTTCCGGGCTCTGCTTCAGATCCGAGCCATGAGGAAAAAACTGGGCCCCTTGTCCCCAACCAGCTTTAACCCCATCATCTCCTCGCAGACATCCGACTCGGAAGAGCACTCGGTGAGTTTGGCTCAGAACCCCGGCCCCTGCCAAGCCAGCGCTGCCTCCCTCGCGCCTCTTCTCACCTTTGGCCCCTCTTGATCTGACTTTGCAGCAAGTAATTAAACTTGGCAGCGGGAGGGGTCAGTAAGCTGGCTGAGCCCAGGTTTCGCTGAAACTGACCTGTGCCGCCAGGGAAAGTGTCCACTGCCCGCCAAACCCACTTCCCTGCTTGGGAACCTGGTATCCAGTTGGCACTGAGCATGCGCTGAGCCCTCCTGCCTTCCCTCAATGGGGCCCCCGCTGTGGGATGTCCCGTGAAGAGACAGTGGGGGGCGCTGTTTCAGACTGGAATACTGTTTACTGTCCCTGTCGGAATCCTGGGAGTGTTGTGTGTGGGGAGGGTGGGGACCGCTTTTCTTTATCCCAGTTCATGGCTTCAGGGGCTGGGAACCGACCAGGTGAAACCCTTCTCCTGGCCCCGGAGTGAGGGCAGGATAGCCGAGTGAAGGCTCGGGGCCGCGTGGGTACAGCCTGGCAGATACCAACTTGCTTTACGTTACACACCAGTGGAAGAGATTTGTCGTCCAGCAAGTGATATCGGCGTAGTTCGTTAGCTATTGGGAGGAAAAAAACGTTTAGCGTCTTTGCTCCTTACAACATAACCAATTCCACGTGGAGTAACAAGGGAACTATATTATAAACAAAGCAACCAAGCAAAACATTAAAAACCTGGAATAAATTATCAGTGACTCTTTGGAGGACTTTGGGTGGGAGAGGCTCTCTAATCTTAAAAGAAAAAAAAAGACTGCAGATTTTTACTACATACAAAGTTTAAAGCTTCAGAGATGTAAAAGATGACCAAAGTTAAAAGACAAACAACCAACCATTTAAAGAAAAAAAAGGTATTCAGGACATTTCCATCAGAGGAAAGGCTCAGAGCTTCGCTGCAGTTTGCGTGAATTGATTCATATGAATATGGATAGTAGATAAAGGCTCAAAGAATACAAAAAAATTCTCAGAAAAAAACATAGCAGGTTAACACTCGCTTTTTTTTTAAGTCGATGCCATTAAAAATCAGCAGTATGCAATTTAAGATGAGATACCACTTTTTACCTTTCAAATTTGAAAGCCTTTTTAAGGTTTTCCGTTCTGCTCTTGGGAGTGTAACTAGAAAGATCATTGGAAAAAAACAAAACAGCTGTCTATACCAAGAGCCTTATACACATTTATACCCAGTACTATTAAGGCCCATTAATTTAATGCCAAGAAAATAATCTGAAAAAAAAAAGATTTATGCAAAAGGACTCCCCTCAGAATGTTCAGTCAGAAATGTCACACGCAACTGAATCCCAGCACCGGTGGGACCGTTAGGGACTCTTGGTGTCTTTGGAAAGGGGATGTGTGCGAGGGAAAATGTTTCTGTTTGGGGAGACAGGCAGGTTGTAAAACTGTTACTGATAGATGGGCTCTAACTGCGTGAACAGGAGAGAGAAAACCAGGGAAAATACGCAGGATGCAAGTAAGATTAGTCTTTTGGATGATTTAATTATTTTTTTAAAGATTTTATTTATTTATATTTAGAAAGGAAGGAAAGGAGAGGAGAGAAGTATCAATGTATGGTTGCTTCTGGTGCATTCCCTGATGGGAACTGGCCTGCAACCCAGGCATGTGTCCTGACTGGGAATCGAACTATGATCCTTTGGTTCGCAGACTTGCACTCAATCCAATGAGCTACACTAGCCAGGGAGGTTGATTGTATTATTGATGGGTTTCCCCCTCCTTTCTACTTTTATGTAGTTTCCCAATTTCTTGTAACAAACGTTTCTTGTATATTTCTATTATGATAAAAAAAAACTTTCAGAAGAAGTTTGTGTATAAGCAGAAGCTAGGAATGTGGGGTCCTTTGGCATGTTAGCTTTCTCTGGCCGCTAGTACAGAAGCTTTTTTGACGGATCCCTAGACAAGATGTAAAAAAAAAAAAGACATTTTTCCAGTGCAGAGTAAGAAACACATTCCGTCAAACAAAGAACATTTCATTAACTTTTCCACCTGCCTGCTTCCCCCAGTCCTCAGAGAACATTCCACCAGGTTATGAAGTGGTGTCTCTTCTGGAGGCCCTCAACGGGCCCCTCACGCCCTCCCCAGCGATCCCTCCGCTCCACGTGCTTGGAGACGGCCACCTGTCAGGAATGCTGCCCGCCTACGGCAGCGAAAGCCACCTGCCCCCTATCCGGACGCTCTCCCCGCTTGACCGCCTGTCCGACTGCAGCAGCCAAGGGCTGAAGCTCAAAAGGAGTCTCTCCAAGTGAGTGGCCACCACCCAGCAGTGTCGGCCTGGGGTCCTCGGCGAGGGGCTTCTCGCCATCCCTCATCTCCTTGGCACTGGCCTCCCTGTCCTGGGGGCCCAGGGCAGGGGGGCCCTCTGGGCTGTTCCCAGAGCTTCCCATTTCACTGACCACCTGGGCCTCACCTGGGGGAAGCTGGTCCCGTCCCTCAGGAGAGGAAAATAAGATGCACACAGGCACTTGGGGGGATCCAGATGGACAAGTGTGTTACCCATTCTCTCTGTTGGGGGGGGATAGGGAGCACCCTTCAGTCTCAAGACTAAAGCAACCTTGTGATCTGTCTCTCTAGAGCATTAAGTCCAGCTAGGCACAGGTCATAATAAAGGAAGGCATTTTATAGATGAAAATATTAAGGCACTAAAACTGTCTGTGGTTTTTCCCAAGTTCAGACACAAGTTACGGAAGGAGCTGAAGAGAAAATGCAGGTGTTCTGCACCCCCACCCTAGGTCTTGGTCCCTGCCCGGGCTCCCGAGCCTCCCTGCTCCCTCAAGGGACCCCTCCTCTGGCGTAGTTCTTCAGTGGCTGTGGGCTCACTGCCGGCCCCTTGGGCTTTTGCAGGTCCGTCTCCCAGAATTCCTCCGTGCTGCGGGAAGAGGAGGATGAGCGTTCCTGCAGCGAATCGGACACGCACCTGTCTCAGAGGCCGTCGGCTCAGCAGCTTGAAGAGGTAACTGCATGCATGGCCCTCCCTGGCTTGGGGAAGGGAGGTTACCGATAGGGTAACCGAGAGGGGGGAAAAGGGGTGTAGAGCCAAGAGGTGGGGTGGCTGTCTTTAAGAAGTGGCCTGTGAGTGAGACCGAAGGCGGCACCAGAGCAAGCTCTGCAGACTCGGGGGCAGGGGGCTGGGGGCCCAGGGCCGACAAGTGGAAGGGCCTGGGAGGCTGTGTGGTGGAGGGCGGAGGGCAGGTGCTCCCCTCAAAGACTTCAGTTAACACAGGGTTACTGCAGCCAGTGCCAGCAGGCAGGGAGCTCGGGGCTGTGGAGCAAGCACAGGTGACAGAGGGTCCCGTCCTAAAGGACTCGAAGTCTAGCAGGGACAGGATGAGCACACAGCTGTTGCTCAGTGAAGTGTTTGTTGAATGAATGAATGAACTCTAAGAAACTAGTATGCCCAAAATTGGAACCAGACAGTGCGGTGGCAGAGGTCAAGTGGAGAAAACCAGGAAAAGGTGTGAGGGAGGACCAGCGCAGAGCCACGTCTCAACAATCTTAGAAATGAAGACAGAGGCGAGCCGGACCTTGGGGGTGGGAGGAGGGGAGTGCAGCCTCTGAGCAGGTAGGTCAGTGGTTCCCGGACAGCTTCCCGTCCTGAAGGCCCAGCTGTGGGCAGTATGGAGGCAGAGGCCGGTGGGTGGAGGTGGACAGTGGGAGACAGAGTGGCTGGCTGAGCCAGGAGATGCTCCAGGAGCCCAGGCGGGAGGCAAGGCGGGGTCTGAGGTCAAAGAGGAATGGGTTGTGTAGATAGAACCCAGAAGCCTGGGCACCTGCCCAGGTGGGGTGAGGTCGCCTGTCCGGGTGACTGATGCAGGGGCGGTGCCAGGGGCAGGTTGGGGGAAGGGCGGTGCTGTGTCGTACCCCCGCCCCCCCCCAGCTGGAACTGACCCGGCTTCCATGTGGAGGCACCCAGCCGCAGGGCCATCTCTGCCGCTTTGTATTCTTTTCCTTCAGAAGAAAAGCTGTTTATAATCCCAGGGAGACCTGGGGTGTTCCCATGTCACAGCTGCTGGGTGACCTGTGTCACCTGAGCTGCCGCCTTTGTGCGGCCCCAGCAGACGCTGTGCCTGGGCCAGCTGTGCCGACTGAAGGCGGCACCTCCCCCGGGAGACAGCCATGCCAGCCAAGCCTGGAGAGCAGTGGGGACGAAAAAGAAACCGCCTGCCTCTGCCTGTCACTGATGTGGTGCCAGTGGGGACCTCAGTGCCTCCCAGGGCCCCCTGTCCTCCTCCTCCCCGCTCCCCACGCCCCCTGCCCTTCCCCCGTCCTCCAGTGCATCTGACCCGCCGCCCTCCTTCCTCCCCTCAGGAGTGTGGTGTCACTCCAGACAGTGAGAACCTGACCCTGTCCTCATCAGGAGGCATCGACCAGTCATCTTGCACAGGGACACCTCTGTCTTCCACCATTTCCTCCCCAGAAGGTACATGAGGGAGCAGGGAGGGAACTCACATCCTCACTCAGCCCAGTTCCTTGAGACAGACCTGGGGGCGGCCAGCTAACACCTAAGCCAGGCCCCACATAGAGGGGAGGGGGCTCCTTCTCCTGGGATGGGGGTGGTCTTGCCCCAAGGGGGGAGTGGGGGCAAGCAGCTGTGTCACTCCCAGTCCTGCCACCCCTGGTCCCTGAGGTGGAGTTCTGAGCTCTCAATGAGAAGGAGCAGCACCGTGGAAAACCTTAAATCTAAAACCCTTTTAGGTGGGGGTGAGGCCGGGCCAGCGCGGCCCTGGCTGCGTGGTGCAGGGAGCAAGCGCGCTCCTCACTCGGCTCAGAACCCAGGCCTGACCCCCATCTCCCCCCCCACCTCCTGTCTCCAAAGACCCTGCCAGCAGCAGTCTGGCCCAGTCGGTCATGTCCATGGTGTCCTCCCAGAGCCGGCACTCCCAGATCAGCACCGACACGGTCTCCTCCATGTCTGGCTCCTACATCGCCCCTGGCACCGGCACCGGCACCGAGGACGAGGGCGAGGCTTTCCCTTCCCCGCTGGGCGACAGCAGGGCTCCCTCCGAGGAAGGAGAGGTAAGCAGGGGCGCGGGCCCCTGTGCGAGCAACCCCAGGTAGCTCACTGCAGTGTCTGCCCGGGAGGGGAGCCACGGGAACGAGGGGGAGCAGGGCCCGAGGCCCCCCCCTCAGACCCACCTCTGGCTGGTGGGCATCTGTGCCGTCACTCTCGTCACTCCTTCGCCTTCGCAGGTGCTGCCGGCGGCGTCTGCAGACAGCAACTTCGTTGGCCTCGCCGAAGAGCAGGACGCAGAGGTGACACCCCCGGGACGAAGCACTGGCTGGGGAGGCAAACAGGACCGGGCTGTCGCCGGTGGCATTTGGATGGGGGGGCCTGAGATGCAGGGGACGAGGGCAGCCGCACGCTCCGGCAATGGCACGTCCGGCCAGCAGGGGGCACTGGTCTCAGTTAACAGGCCTGGAGGGAGTTGGGCGAGGGGAACTCTTCCCCGCCAGACCCTGGGCTTCACTCGGGGTTCATCCTTCGTCACTTAGTGATTGTTTACACAGGACGGCTGTGTCGAGGGCGCTTCCTGGCACTGAGACCAGCAAAGGCCCGAGTGATGTGGTTCCTGCTTGCCCCCACCCTCTGTACCAATGCGGGGGGAGACAGGTCACAATTCAGCTGGCAAGTGCCTTGACCGAGGTGTGTGGAGGGTCATGACATGCCCAGCTCACCGGGAAAGTTCTAGAACTTTTTTTTTTCTCTAGAACTGTGTCTTGAGCCACACGTTTTCAAAGGAGTGTCTGGGTAGGGCTCGCAGCCCTCAGGGATTTTCGAAAGTTTTCAGACCCCCTGTCTGCGCTGTCTGAGAAAACAGGACGAGCGAAGCCACGACCCAGGCTGTTGCCGACATTCCCGGCAGGCCCACTTACCGCGCCCCCGACCCGGTCCCCCCAGCCGGCCGGGCCTGCCCCTCTGCCCAGCATCCCTGGAGTTAAACCGCTTCAGGAGGGTTCCTTCAGTCTTCACCCCACAAATACACAGTTGGGCCTTTCCATGTTTTAATTTTTATAACAATTTATTTGGGCCAAACAGAGGGTACCCCTGGAAGCAAGATCTCAACAGCCTGAGCAAAACGCTCCTGCAGTTGAGTTGTGCCCAGGGCACTGCACACCACGCTGTTCCAGGGCCCGCTGTGCTCTCGGCCTGCCCTCCGGAGCGTCTGCTCAGAGGGCCCACTGCAGTGCCCGCTGGACCTTCGACCGTGTGGGTAGTCGCGCCCCAGCCCCCATGGGGCTCTCGGGCCACTGTCCTCTCTCACCGGCTCAGGAGACTCACCGCCCCTTCCTTCCGTTGCAGGGGAATGACGTTATGGAGGAAGACGATGGATCCCCCACACAAGAAGATGGTAAAAGACCTGGTCTTTTGCTCCCTCTCGTTATATTCTTTCCTGGGTGCTCTTTCAAGGGTCCCACAGGGGGCACTGGCACAAGTGACTGGCACCCCTCCGTGGTGTGCCATTGGGCAAGGGTCATCTTCCTGACGGAGCAGCCAAGCCCGCAGGGTGCCCGAGGACGCCAGCAGCCTCCCAGCTTGTTCTGGGCTCTGAGCCAAGGCCACCCGGAGGAGGGTGCCGCGGGCAACGCCACAGCTCTCCGTTTACAGCAGACAGGCCCTGAAACTTCTCGGGCTGCTCCCGTGGCCTTCCTGCCCTTGGAGGCTGTTCAGCCCAGACCCCCAGAGCTGCTCTCCCAGCCCCCAAGTTGAGTGGCAGAGGAAGAGCTGCTCGGCTGCCGGTTTGGTTTTGCTTTAGCTTTAGCCAAGACAATGGCTGACGTTCCCTAACGGGGACCTTAGGGGCCAGCAGTGCAGGAAGGCACAGTAGGGACCAGTGTCCTGTGACTGTTTCAGTGATTTCCTCGTGCTAATCCAGGACTCAGTGAGCACTTCCGTGGGAAGAGTGTTGTTTCTAGTACGGCTGGAAAGGAAGGGGTGATCGCCAGAGCACGGGAGTAGGAAGGAGGGGGTGGGCTGGGAACGTCCCACCTGGGGATGGACTTTGGTGGGTTCCAGGAACCAGCGCCCCTCCCTCCGCTGCTCCGAGGCGCCTTCTGCAGAAAGGCACCTCCAGAGCAGACCGATGCCGGCTGGGGTGCGGATGTCATCCTAGTTGCTTCTGCTTCAGCGCTGGCCGTTGCTTGGGAGTTCAGGGGTGGGCATGCGGACCTGGCCACTCTCGCCCGGCCAAGTTGCCCTAAGGGAGGGCATGGCCGCCACGGCTGAGCCTCCGCCACTCCTTTGCACGCCAGCCCCAGATGGGGTTGGGCACCTCATTGACCAGAGTGATGTCCTCAGTGCTCCAGGCTCCCTCTGTGACTGTGCCCCCCATAGAGTGTTCGCTCCCGACAGGTGCAGGGCCACCGTGTCCCCACCCGACTTTCCATAGCCCGCACAGTGGGTTTATGGTCCTTCCCCTCCCGTTCACCAAGAGAAAAAAGAAGGAACTTTTAAAAAGTAACTCCTAAAAGTTTCCCCTTCCCCTCTCATATGTCTGTAGGGTTCAGGTCAGTCCCTTAAAATACACTCGACATAACAAATTTCGTAATTCTCCAAAGCAAATAAATCATGATTTTGTGAACGTGGTGACTCTGGCTTGATATGCAAAACTATGGGCCCTAAGACCTTCCATGGTGGTTCTGGTGTTTAGCATTTGCAGAGCCTTCTGGTGATAAGCACACCCCACAGCACCGGCAGACACAGGCAGGGGCAGGGTGGCTTCACCAGCGGGTCCCCCAGCTGGTCCCGCCTCTGGCAGAGCCCCCCATGGGTTCCGTGCCCCGGGGAGCCTGCGACCCAGCCAGCAGCCCTCCCCAGTGGTCTCACCTGCTGTGGATCGGCAGCTGGAAGGGGGCCAATGAGGGAAACAGAGCGGAGAGCTTGAGGACACGTACCTGCCCACCCAGTTTGATCCTATTATTGTCCACTCTTTACCCACTTAATTATTGTCTTTTTTTTTAAACACATGATTTTATTTTTTTTGTCTCCATCCTTAAGACTTTTATTTTAAGGACAGCAAAGCAGAGAAAAATCCAGCCAGCCCCTGTCTAACTGCATTAACTCCGTTACAGGCCAGAGGACATGCGCATTTCTAGGTATGGAGTGTGACAATAACAATGACTTTGACATCGCAAGCGTGAAAGCACTGGACAATAAGCTGTGCTCTGAGGTCTGCTTACCCGGTGAGTGGCAGTCTGCTGAACATGAACTTGGTGGGAGACGCTCCCCTGCTCGCTCCCCTGCTCTCACCCTGGGACACTCGTCTCCGCCCTGCAGCTCCTGCAGGAGCCCCGGGCTGTGCCGAGATGCGGGAAGCCCTTTGCCCAAAGGAACAGGCCTCAGCTCTGTGCCCTGGGCACGAGTGTTGGGACAGGAAGAAGGGAGCGCTCTTCCCGTCCTTTCCTTCCCACCAGGCCTGGCCGGCCCCCTCCATCGTGATCTTGGTGATCCCATGGCAGGTGGCCTGGTCTTGTCCTCATCGGCAGGAAGTTCGAGGCACACCCAGCTCCTCAGCGTGGAAAGGGCCTCCACAGCCCCTCCAGGGACCGTGTTTCGGAGTGTCAGGGAGGCGGCCGCCTGCGGGTTACCAGTTGCATTGTACTCGTTAGGCTCTGGAACCCAAAGAAGGGGTCAGGTCAGGGGTCGACGGTGACCGAGCTCCCTGGAGCCCTCACTTTAAATGTCATCGGGGCTGTCAGTGTGATTCCTTCCCATGACACTACAGAGCATCTGGGCTGACTTCCTACAAAAGAGGCACGTTGCTGACGCCATGTCGAGCACTGGCCGCCTTGAACCCACGTGCCCACCCCAGGCCCCTTGAGCCACCGCTCCAAAGCCTAGTCCTACTGCCCAAGTGGGTGCCCTCCCAGTCTTACGGCAGACATTGTCCTTCACACGTGCTTGTCACCTCCCCGGCACCCCCGAAATGCAGACCTGTGTGAGCCTCAGAGCAGCCCCGTCCCATCACGGGTCCAGTGCTTTACTCGTTCAGCGAAGTGGCAGCGGCGTTGGAGCCACGCAGCCTCCTGTGTTGCCATGCTCCATCCGCCGCGAAAGACGCGGGTCCTCGCCCGCCGGCCGCGCAGGCTGTGGCATGGCCGGGCCGGGCCTCCCGGAGACGCTTCTTCCAGCCGTTCAGAGGGCTAGCGGGTCACGCTCCGCTTGGCGCTGACCCGGTCAGGTCTGGACTGCTCTTCCTGCCTCCTGCTCCCCACCTCGCTGCTGTCTGTCTGTTCGTTTTCCACGTCTGTGTGCCAAGCGTAAATCTGTTTGTCTGGTTTGTTCATTTTTCAACTCATTTCCGTTACCTGGACTCTGTCCGAAAGTTCATGTTCGCTCCGTGCCCACACTGCCCGCCCCGGCTGCGCTGCGCCCACGCCCGCGCTTGCTGGGCCTGCGCGCCCAGGAGAGGCTCTCGCTTAGGGTCCCATTCCTAACTGTCAAGGGCCCGTGCTCTGTCCACTAAGACTTCTGAGAAAAAAGAATGTGTGAGGACACATTAATCCCCGTTCCAGAAGAACAGGGTGCTTCTGTGCAGGGATGAAGGGAGGAGCTGGTTTTCGGCCAAAGGGGAAGTCTCCACCCTCGCTCCGCCCTGCACCTGCGGCAGCCACACCTCTGTCTGCTCATTGGGCTTCAGGAGAGAATCAAGGTTCCTGCCTCCCCCCAGGGGCTCCCCACCACCCCCATTTCCTGGCAGAGGGAAACTGTGTTAGCCCACCATGCTGGTGGAAACTTGAGCTTATTCCTTGTGCTTCCTACTCTTCCTAACTCCCTCCAGCCAGCCCGCTTGTTGGTACATCCTCCACTCTGTGGGGATGCGGGAGGGGTCGTGAGACCTGGAAGGCACAAGGAACCCCTGGGGTTCCTCCTGCCGATCTTGGAAGGGAGCCAGCCAGCCTGAGATGAAGCTGGGTTCACAATATAGGCCAGACCTGAACCAAGCGCCTGTGACCACTGTCGGGAGAGGGGTGCGGGTGTAAGCACTTGAAGTGTCCCCTTGTCCCCTCACCGGAGGTCTCCAGGGCTCCCACAGAAGACGGCGAGCCTGTCTGCTCTCGAGGTAGAATGTTCTCTGGTTCTGCCGTCAGCATCATGCTGGTGGCAAAGTGCTGGGGACTCTCTGGAAGCGTCCGCTGAGCTAGGGACAGGCGTGCCCACTTTGGTAGGTCTTGTGGGAGGAATAGGCCTCCTCCCTCAGCCGTGAGGTTGAACTTCCCTCCGATGCCGGCCAGCTGGGCTCAGGACAGCATCCCTGGCCCTTGGTCCCCTGTCTGCATCTCCCTCCCCATGCTCACAGGGTGAAGGGGGGGACCCAGGCCCAGCCCGTGAGTGGCAAGGACCACGCAGGTCCCCATTGTCACCACTCTTGTCAGAGTGACGCTGGGAGGGCACCTGTGTCTTCCTTCTCCTAAGAAGTTTCTGGGTGTTCTTGGGCCCCAAAACCAAAGGGGTGGGGGTGTGTTCTGAGATGACTCTGAGGGTCACAAAGGGAGGAATCCAAGCAGACAGGTGTAGGTGGAGAGCGGATCGGGATTTGCGGACCATACTAAGCAGTCATGGTTTCTGAATGACTGTCACCAGAGACAGGATCTGGGGACCAGTGGCAATTCTGTGAAAAGCCTCTGAGGAGGGTGCTGATGGAAAAGAGCAAAGATAACTTGGGTTGAGTAGTGGAAATACAAATATGGTTTTAAATGGCTGCGTGGAGCACAGGGGGCGTATCTAATGAAATCCGAAAGTACTTAAGGATTCCTGAAACTCCAGGGGAGCGAGTGGCTGGCTGAGATGCTCCGGGGAAGTGCACGCTTCCGAGGCACTAAGGGAGCATCCAATGACTCTCCCCTGGAGAGAAACTGCAAGGCCCTTGCACTGTTACTGTAGCCCTTAAACTTAGCCACAGGGAAGGGGTGTGCGGAAGGGCCCTAAATGTGCTCCCAAAATCTACCTCTAGAGGTCTCTTCACTCGCCCATTTCTGATTCCCAGAAATGGGAATTGAATGGAAAGCACCTTTATCTATCTCCCTGTGCCCCAGTTTCTGGCCAAAGGCAGGGCCGGATGGTAGCACTGGCTCAGGAAGATCTCCTCGCCCCCCCCCCCTCCTTTCTGTGGCCAGGCTGGCCCCTGACCCCGTGAGCAAGCGCAGAGCAGGCTTTGGTGAGGGCGCATCAGCATCCTTTGGAGGGGAAAGGACACCACAGAGCATAGGTATCAGGCACCAGGAAGAACAGATGTCGTCAGAGCTGGGACTTGAGGCTGCCCCAGGAGGAACGGGGTGTCAGCCTGGCGACCGATCCTAGGATGGCGGTGTCTGCCGCAAGGGCGCGTGCGAACCCCGCCCGGGCAGGCCGCCGGTCAGCCCTCGGGCTCCTGGTGAGCTGGTGGCAGCGGTGTGGTTTTATTTTGTGCATGCGTGTGTGTCTTCTCTCCTGTTTACCATGTGCTTTTGGTCTTTCCTACCGAACAGCCGCAGTTCCGGAGTCCTGCCCCATAAACATTGAGGAATAGGTATGAGATCTACCCAATTATGTAAATGAACACACCACTCATGTCACGGTGGGGTTTCCAACCGGAAGGGCAGTCTTGCCTGCTGGTCCCCTTGCCCCCCTGAGAGTGCCATCCCCGAGGAAAAGAACACCGCTGACCACGCCCCAGACTTCAGCACCCCAGGGGCCAGAGGTCCCCCAGTCCCTGCGGGTGTGGGAGATACCGAAGCATGTCCTGTTCTACTCACTTCTCTTCCCCTGGGGCCCCCGCCTCAGACTGTTACTAGAGCCTTGGAGGGATTATCCCACCAGGACATTTCTGGGAAATAGCAGTTTATACCCTTAATCCTGGTGTTTCTGCCATTAGACCCCACACATTTGAGTGTGAACGCAGCGAGCCTCCAGCCCACCCTCTGGAGCCCTCAGCCCCGCCCAGGACAAGCTTCCCATCTCCTGGAGGCGGTTGGGGCACAGTGTTAGAAGAAGGGGTGGCCGTGTGGGCTGCTGGGGGAGTCCTCACCCTCAGAGCCCCCTGGGCTTCCTCTGGCAGGGCAGGGTGTGGGGGACCCCAGAGGAGGGAGGCCTTCCTCCAGAATGGAGAGGATGGCCCTGTGGGGGAGCCAGGCCGTGGGCGGAGCCAGGCCGTGGGCGGGCAGGCGAGTAAAGGGAGGTGGAGAGAGAGAGGAGAGCCTGAACAAAGCCTGGGGTGCCAGCGCTCTCTGCCAGTGGGTGCCCCGCTCAGCAGTCCCCCAGGTGACTTCGTTCAGTCCTCCCAGCAGTCCCGCGAGTTAGTGTGGAAAAGTGACCTGCCTGAGCCCTGGGACCTGGGAGTGGGGTCCTGCTGTTTAACGACAGATCAGACACCTTAGGAAGTGAACAAACTGGGGAGTGTGGCCCAGACACAGAGCACGAAGGGAAGGGCTGCCAGACTGGGGGGAGGGCGAGGAAGTTAGTAGGTGACTCCTGGGGGGCCCCAAGATTCTCGGGCTAGTGTCGCTGGGGGTGATAACACCCAGGAGAGCAAACCTCAGCGGGCTGCTCGGGTCGGAGAGACAAAGAGCAGCAGGTATGGGGGACGATAGGGTGTCCCCCACCCCCTGCTGGTGGCCAGTCACCCCCCCCCGCCCCACCCTGGCTCCTCAGCAGTCTCTGGGCCCAGGGAACACACTCTTCTCCCTCCGCTCCACTGCTTCCCGCCCCGAGGAACAGCTCAGCTGGACTCAGCTGCTTTCCCCTGGTCTGATTGGAACACGCAGACCAACTTCAGAACTAATGAGACGCAAAAGTGGGTCCTGGGGCAAGTCCATGAAACAAGAAACATCCTGTGCGTCCCTCGGTCAGTGGGCACGGTGGCTGTGACTGTGGCCCAGTGGGGCTGGCACGGCCCCTGCACCTGGCGGCGCCCACTTCTCCCATTGCGCTTTCTCGCTGTGGCCAGCACGGGAGTTTCAGGTGACATGCGTCCTGCCAGCTTCTGTGCCGAGCTCCTGGGCCACCCCGCTGGAGACACCATCTGGACCTGGCCGGAAAGGTTCGGCTCCTGTAACCTTCCTTTCTCTTCTGCAGGCACCTGGCAGGCTGATGACAACATTGTCAATTGTCGGAACACACAGCACCGCCGCCTGTCGTCCAGCAGCCTGGAGGATGTCGAGAACAGGCCCTGCGTCTGGGGTCCCTTGGCCGTCTGAGAGCCCTGCCCCCATACCAGAGCTCCCTCCTGTCCCCAGGCTCCCTCCTGGCCTCACTGGACCAAGCGCCCCCTGGGCGTCCTCAGCAGGACACACGGAGACTGTCATACCCACGTGGAAGCCAGACGTCGAGATCAGCCTGCTCCTCCTCCCAGCCTCGTGTCCTTCCATAACCGCCATCCCTCCCCTCCCAGGACGGACTGGAAGCCTCCTTTCTCCTGCCGCCTGTAACCACTTGATGAACTGCAGCTCATGAGACCCTTTGCAGAGACTCTCTAGAAGTTCCCACTGTATCGTGTGATCTTCAGGTGGAGCCAAGGTGCACAGGCCGGTGGCTTCCTGAGCATCCCTTTCCTCGCTGCAGGCAGACCAAGAGACGGAGTCTTCGTGGCTTCCTAACAGCCATCCGCCCGGCACTTTTTGGTTTCTGGGACATTGTAACCAACTTGAACCCTCCTGTTGGAGGCGGGCGGTGGGGATGACTCCTGGGAGAAGGGAAAGCCACATGGCACTCTCAGTGGCGTTTCCTGATCCTCAAGGACAGGAGAGACGGTGGCAACCGAGAGGACAGATGGAAAAACGGTTCTTTCTTCTGGCACGTGAGCTAGTCTCTCATGCCTCATGTGTCTGTCTGTTTAGGAAGGGGGCCATGAACGGGAGAATACCCCCTAAGTGGTCACCCACAGGAGGGTTTCTTAGGATCAGGCACGTCCGAGAAGGCCTGGGACTCCGCCCTAGGCAGCATTTCAGAGCCCTGTTTCAGCCGCCTCCGTGTGCTGGGCGTGTGTGAGCAGCTGCTTCAGCACAACGGCCCCGTTGGGTGGCATTCTTACCCCTGGCGCCCCCATCTCCACCCTTGTTGTTAACAGTTTAATAGTTGAAGAAATAGGCTGCAAGAAGGGTGGACCAGTGATCCCCCCGCCACTGGTACCCCGGAGCCCCGAAGGAAGTGGTAGAGAGCACCCAGCTGGGGCCAGCAGTGGGCTGGGAGCCTCCCCACCCTCCCCATATTCACCCCCCCAACCTTCCCATGTTCCTGAGCCTGATAGGGGAAGGGGAGGTATTGCCTTCCACAGGCTCATCCGAGATTCAGAGATGCTGTTCAGTTCATGTGCCCACCCCACCTCCGCCCAGTGCAGGGCATGTGAACAGAAGCCTGCAATGGCAAGGCCGCACAGCCCCGCATGCTGCTGGGTGTTTCTCTCCTCTGAGCCCCAGCGTTATGGACCCCTCATCGTGCTCGGGTAGATGCTTTGTCAACTGGCTTTCAGGAAAGGTGGTTTCTCAGTGAAGCACGGACTGGGAAGCAAAGTTGGGTCCAACGATTTGTGAGGCTGAGCTGTGGAGCCCAGGCTGTCCCCGTGCTGATGGCTTGTTAGTATTGGGCATTGTCACCGGAGAAGAGTTTCTCGGCGCCCTTTCCAAGACCTCGCAGAGAGCCCAGGGCCCAGGGGATCCTTTGCACCTGCCTTGTGGCTTCTTTGCACTGCCAGGTGGGTGGGGGACCCTCACACTGCCTAGTGGTTGTGGCTCATGTTCTGCCCTGGTCAAGGGGGAGGCCCGTGATTCCGACAGATGTGACGTGAGCCAAGCCAGACTCTAAGCTGCTGTCTCGAGTTGCCAGCCCCCACCCCCACCCCTGTGTGCTTTCAGTCCCTTTCATATTTAAAAACCTGAGCAATAACCCCCCCTCCCTGATTTCTTTGCAGTGTGAGCCCCAGAAAACGTCAGGGAACAGGAGCCTCCCTTAGCCTGGGGCACTGGTACACAGACCCACCTCCTCTCCCAGCAGGTAGTATTCGAGGTGTGCTGTCACCTGAGATGAAGGAGGTGCGGGTAAACAGTAGCCACAGGGGCCAGGAACCCTAAGAGGAAGCCATTATCTTCACCCTTTCTGGGGGGGTCTGTGTCCTCTCCCAGGAAGATTCTTCTAGGCCTTGGTTCCATACCCCAGACATGTGCGTTATAGAACGGCCCTTCAGTCCTTGTTTTTCAGACCCTTCCTATCCTCCCGTCCCCGCCACTGCTTCTTTATTCTCATCTAGATCTTTGGCAAACAGTAAAACCCCCTCCAAAGAGGCTGGTCCTCAGTCAGCCTGACCAGGGATCAGGGCACCTGCCAGCCCCACTGCCCCATCCATCCTCTGGACACTGTCACGTCGTAAGCAGTTAACCCACGGAGAGTGGATGGCCCGGCTCCTCACACACAGGAGCACTGACAAACTGGAGGCCAGTGACTCCTACCTGCCACGCTCAGGTTGGAGCTCTCCCCTGGCCTCCAGGTGGTAGGGGGCTCCCCGCGCCCCACAAAGCTGCTTCTCCTCCTACCCAGCCCCATCCCACCAGGGTTTATGCTGGCCTCTGGGGCTGGACTGTGAACTGGAGGCCATCTCACCTGGAGAGAGTTCATGTCCTGTCCACCTGACCCTGGCACGCTCATTGCTCACTTTGCTTTAGGATCTGCACACCTGGCGTGTGCAAGTGTGTATGTGTGCTGTTGTGCCCCTCTCCCTCCCTGGAGTTACACTTGGGGGCACACTACAGTGGGAACATCGAGGATGCAATATTTACGGATTGCTGCATGATTCTTAAAACTGAATAAAACTGTTTACAAGGGAAGGAGGGCTGTTGACTGTAGCCGGCTTGTGTGTAAAAGCTCCCGTCTGCCCTGTTCCAACAGCCCTTCATACCTCTGCTCCAGATGGTGTGGGCACGGAGGAGTGGTCGAGGGCAAGGGGCGGGGAAGGATGTGGCCCTGGGCTTGAGTTGGGGTGCCAGCTCCCCACCCCCGCCCCACACAGGCTTCCCCCGCCCAGCCCTGCAGCTCCTGGGCAGAGGCCTCAGTAAGGAGCCCTTGGCCCCACCGTTGGCCTTAAACCGGAGAACTGCCATTGCTGCAGCTCCTCAATAATTGAAGAGCAGGAAGGCTGGGGACGGGAGGGAGGCCGGGGGACGGAAAGAGGTCCGGTCCCTCCCCCCTCAGTCCCTGTCACTGAAAGGTTGGTGAAATGAATGGGGCAAATGACCCCACTAGGAGAATTTGGCGAATCCGTAGCTTTTCTGAGTTTCACTCGCTGGCTCTGCCTCCTCAGCTATCTGGAAAGGAGGGAATGCACTTCCGCAGAAGCCTCTGGAATGTCGGGGGGAGGGAAGCAACCGCTTACCGGGAAACTGGATTACCCTACCCGCCTTGGTGGGTCTGCGAGCGGTACGGCCATTGCAGCGGACCTGAGCGGCAGGTGGCATCGGAGAGGCAGACCTGCCAGCGGGCACCAGGGCGGACACCCAGGATGGGAGAGAGGGGCGGGCCGCAGAACCTGAGCAAGAGCCCCTCGCAGCACAGAGGAGAGAAAATGAAACCCGCTTTCAGCACCGCCCGCCCCCGGAGCTGCGTTCCAGGAGCCGTCGAGGCCTCGGAGCAGCGGGGCCAGTAAGAGGGCAGGGTGGGAGGGCGGTTCCCGGGGGCGAACGGCTCTCCTGCTTGGCCGAGCCCCAGCTGGAGCGCAGAGTCGCGCGCTTCTCCGAGCCCTGCGCGCGGCCCTCGGGCGGGAATGCGGGCAGCCCCGCCGCGGTGGCGGGTAGGGGGCTGGGTGGCGCGGGAGAGGGGCGCAAAACGAGGGAGTTCGAGGAGAGTTACCGCTGGAGAGAGTGGCCAGAGCCCGCGGTCACCTTGGAAACGTGATGACCAATGGCAGAAGCAAAAGCTGTTTATAGGGGCGGAGCGTCGCCATGGCAGCCGGAGAAGCCTTTGGAGCTGCTACTTAACGCTGTTCCCCGGGCCGCGGGCGCTCAGAGAGGCACCGTCTGGCGGGGGCGCGACGAGGGGTGCTGGCGAGGCCCTCAAGCTGAGGGCAGAGAGCCGCGGGGAGTGAGGGTAACTTCTTCCAGAACCTTCCTTTGGCCCGGGCTGCACTCTGAGCCAGGTAAGGTACTGGGAGGGCTGCCGGCCGCGGGAGTGGAGAGCGTTGGTACCAGCCCGCTCTCCCATCCGTCCCGACGGAAGTGGTGGGCCCGGGAACTGACATCTCTGGAGTTTGGGGGTACCTCACTTCCTGCCCCGCATAAGAATATGTCCTGTTCCCCTCCTTCCCCGACCTTCCATCCTAATATCCCTTTTCAAAGATTTGACGAACTCCCCTGTCCCCCACCCCCACCCCAGTACCGCCCTCCCAGGCTCCCTCCCCCCTTTCCCAGGTGTCGCAGGGTGGGGGTATCTGATTTCCCGCCCTTGGGGAGAAGGGAATAGCCTCGGATGCCCCTACCGTCTTCCCTGATTTGGCTAATACTCTGGTCCGGTCTGGAAGAGGAAACGAAGAGCGAGACAAACCTGCGGGGATCGGGCCTCCGGGCCCGGTTTCTGTTTCCCAGACCTGGGCTCTAAAAGATCTTCCCAGCTGTGGGGACGATTTCAGAGGAATTCCCCTCCCACCCCCACACACCCCCTCCCCTCGGAGGTAGGGAAGAGTGCACAGCTCCCGCGGTGCTCCCCGCAGGCCTCCCATTCATATTCGGAGGAGACAACCGGGGTCGCAGGATGGAAGCGCACGTCCCCGAAGCTGTGTAGCTGGAGCCGCGGGAGTCAGTGGGCGGAGAGCGCTGCGGGCCACCGTGGGCTCGGCCGTGGACATTGACCGCCCCCTCGGAGAGTCCGTGCAGACATGGCCGAGAGCTGGCTACGCCTCTCCGGAGCAGGGGTAGCGGAGAGGGCCGGGTCGGAGGGCGGCCTGGAGGAGCCTGACGCCCTGGACGACAGCCTGACCAGCCTGCAGTGGCTGCAGGAATTCTCCATTCTCAACGCCAAGGCCCCTGCCCTGCCCCCAGGGGGGACTGACCCCCATGGCTACCACCAGGTGCCAGGCTCGGCGGCACCTGGGTCCCCCCTGGCGGCAGACCCAGCCTGCCTGGGGCAGCCACACACGCCAGGCAAGCCCACGTCGTCCTGCACATCCGGGAGCTCGCCCTCAGGGCTCCAGGCTCCGCCCCCAGACGACGTGGACTACGCCACCAACCCGAACGTGAAGCCGCCCTACTCCTACGCCACGCTCATCTGTATGGCCATGCAGGCGAGCAAGGCCACCAAGATCACCCTGTCGGCCATCTACAAATGGATCACAGACAACTTTTGCTACTTCCGCCATGCTGATCCCACCTGGCAGGTAGGGGAGGCGTGGGTTCTGTCCCAAACTCCCACCCTCTCTACTCTTGTGAGGACCGGACTCACTTCATGTCTCAGATCCGCAGGTCAAGTAGGCAGGTGCAGTGCACTCAAGGGCCCCAAGGCAGGAAGGCCATCAAAGAAGGACCTCCAAGGGAGCCCAGTGCTCAGAAATGCCCCTCATTTGACTTTGGAGAGGGAGGAGGAAGGATGTTCAGAGGGCTTTAGGGGTGGGGATGCTGAAGTTCAAGGTGCAAGCACTTGTCACTCATCCAAGAAGCTCAGTCCAAAGACTCGGTAGGGCCAGACTTTGCTGTGGACACAGCTCCCCCCAAAGGTGACAAAATGAGGGACACATTTTTGTCCCAAGTCCTAAAATTCCTAGACATTGCCCTGCCCAAGGGCAGCTCGTCGGGACCTGACTCAGAGGTGGAAATAGGAGCACAGTCCCCGCCAAGCTCTGCATCCTGCCTGGTTGCAGGTGGCTGGCGGAGGGCGGGCCGTGGGTCGGGAGTGCTGTGGGGTGCAAAGGCCAGCTGTGTCTCTGTGGAGTGGGTATGAGGCCTTCCTAAAGCTGTCCTCTCAGCCCCCACTCCAGCCCCTCCCCAGTTTTCTGCCTCTAATCTTTTTCCTCTTCTCAGTCAACCTCCCAGGGGGGACAATTACCTGAGCCAGGTGCTTTCCACAGGGGCTCTGCCTCCAGCTCGGGCTTCACGTTCCACATCTCCGGAACCTGGCACAGAGCAGCCAAGGGGCTAGGCTGCCACGTAAACATCCCAGCCTTGCCAAGGGGCACCACCCACCCATCCATCCTGCTACCCAGGCCCCTGGCCCCTGGCCCCATCCCCATTGTGGTTTGAATAGGACTACGTCCCCAGGAGCGAACAAGGCAGGACAGTGATCAAACATTGCCCTGGGGGTCCTCTGCCATCAGGATCAGGGGCTAGATGGGCACAGAGGCCCTGAGGATGCCCAGACTCTCCCCTGGGGCCCCCACAGGCAGCAGGCCGCATGTCACGACAGTCCCCAGCTATTCTACACTTGCTGGGCCCTGACTGGGGCAATGCCATCTGTAGCTTTGGTGAGAAAGCAGAGCCCCCCACCCACCCATAAGCCTGGGAAGCTCAGGCTGCAGGAAATGGGCCCCAGGAATGAGCACTATGCCTTTTGCTGGGTAATAATCAACTGAGGCCAAACAGCCTAGGCAGCGGGGGAGAGGGGGGTTAGGGGGGCAGTCAGAGCCCAGGCCAGCAGCTGGCTCAACAACCAAGGGAAGTCATCAGATGGCACCACTCGTCTCCCTGCACACACCCCTGTACAGGCATGCACATGTGCAGGTGCACACTCACACACTCACACCCTCAGCCTCCCAGTGCCGCCCACCCCAACCCATGCACTTCACCAACAGAGAGGGCCAGCCAGGCCCTGGGGGAGCTGAGGCGTTTGGCCAGAGGCTGCAAGCCGTGGGGTAAGGGAGGGAGGGCAGGACAGCGTGGCACTGAGAGCCGCCCTGTGGCTCAGGACTTGGATGACTGAGCAGGCAGATATCCTGGCAACAGGGAACAAAAGCCCCCGACAGCACTCCTGGCTCCCCGTGTCCTGTGGCTGGTGTCCCAGAGCCTGGCCCCCTCCTCCCATCAGAGAAAGGATGGGAGGAGGACAGGCAGGAGCACTAGCTGCCACATCACTGACCCTTCCTCCCCGCTCACTCAGTCCTCTGTCTCTCTTTTCTCCCTGCACCCAGAACTCCATCCGCCACAACCTGTCCCTGAACAAGTGCTTCATCAAAGTGCCTCGGGAGAAGGACGAGCCCGGCAAGGGGGGCTTCTGGCGTATCGACCCCCAGTATGCTGAGCGCCTGCTGAGTGGGGCCTTCAAGAAGCGGCGGCTGACCCCAGTCCACATCCACCCAGCCTTTGCCCGCCAGGCCACACAGAAGCCCAGCACCACCCCGTGGGCTGGGCCGCTGACCGTAAACACCGAGGCCCAGCAGCTGCTGCGGGAGTTCGAGGAGGCCACCGGGGAGGTGGGCTGGGGTGCGGGCGAGGGCAGGCTCGGGCATAAGCGCAAACAGCCGCTGCCCAAGCGGGTGGCCAAGGTCCCGAGGCCTCCCAGCACCCTGCTGCTGACCCAGGAGGAGCAGGGCGAGCTGGAACCCCTCAAAGGCAACTTTGACTGGGAGGCCGTCTTCGATGCCAGCACTCTGGGCGGGGAGCTGGGCACGCTAGAGGCCCTGGAGCTGAGCCCACCGCTGAGCCCCGCCTCACACGGGGACGTGGACCTCACTGTCCACGGCCACCACATCAACTGCCCTGCTACCTGGGGCCCTTCAGTGGAGCAGGCCGCCGACAGCCTGGACTTCGATGAGACCTTCCTGGCCACGTCCTTCCTGCAGCACCCCTGGGACGAGAATGGCAGTGGCTGCCTGCCCCCGGAGCCCCTCTTTGAGGCGGGGGATGCCACC